AGTTTACCAACAGTTATGCAGGCTGCATGAAAAAAGAAAGCAGATAATCTCTGGAACTAAAAGTTGGTAAAAGTTAAAGATTATGGCTCAGATTCAGTGGGTAGAACTGTGAATGGATGTCTGCATGTGTAGGCTGTTGTGTTGTTCCTGGAAGAATAATAAATGTTTTCTGACAGCTCTGTGTGAAAACTCTTTTTCTGGTAGAAGAAGGTTCCATTTGTGTTTGGTGTGTTTTTGATCAGTAACAATTGCAGCATGTTTCTCCATATTGCCTGTAGGAGCACTTATGGCTCATCGTAAACCAGTCAACTTGCCACTAAACCCTGATGTTTATTTAAGCTGTGGTTTTCGGAGAAGAAAGAAATTAATACTCCGTAAAAGTGGAAGATGTTTAAATGCTTTATTGTTTTTCTTTGGTCCATATGTAAAAAAAGTGATATATTGTTTGAACAGATCTTTTAGATTCTGTACTGTGATGCTTTACTGAGCAAAACTCTTTTGCTGTCTTCAGTGCCCCAGATTTGCCCTTTGAGATAAAAGATGACTAATGCACCAATAATATCACACAGATATAGCTCTTTATTTTCTCTTTCCAGAAAAGCTGATGTTTTTTTTTTCTCTCCTGTGCACCCACCACCTTACTGTTTCTGTAAAAAATGTGTGATAAACATTATCAGCACTGCCAAATGTAATTATCATCACTTGGTTCAAAGTGGGTCAGAGAATGTTCCTCAATTCTTAGACAGAGAATGGAGATTCAAGTTAAGCAATGTGTGAATGTCAGGCATGGATTATGTACCTAACAAATGTATTATGTTTATACTGTGGGAAAAAGATGGGAGGCAGATGGCCTCATCATTTTTGGAAAACCATCCTCACTGCAGTGAGAAGGGTAAAGCTTTGATTTTTTTTAGAACCACAGTTTTATTTGAATCGATATCAGAAATTATTTTTAGAGGAAAATATTGTGGAAAAACTGAAGCTCCATTTAGCAATGCCTTCAGTTAGCTGTAGCTTACGTTGGCATTAACTGTTRGAGTCAACACTGACKGTCTGTCAGCAAAATATCTCWTAAACCACTGAGTRGATTTTCATAAAACTCTGAAAGTATAGTCGATGACCGGACTTCCTCTGAAAAACATTTAGAGTCAATCCAATTAAAGATGGCTACCACAGCTAATCAAACTTAGCTAGCACAAAACTGATCTTAACTCAGTCTGTTTGGTATTGAGCAAACTGTTGTGGTAGTAGCTGAGAGTCACTCTCAACACATTTTCTGAGTCTTTTTTAAACTTGCAAGCTCTCGTTATGTCATTCACAAGACAATAAGACATAAGACAATGTCAATCTAATTCTCTAAAGGCTGCGGACAATATGCATTGGTTCAAAGAATTATGGACTTTTGTTTTTGTAGTGGTCCTGTGATGTTCAACAACGTAATGGTCAAAGCAGACCCTTTCACCTACACGGATTGCCCCTTTAAACATCCAGATTAAAGATGGTGTGCTTTAAAAGCGGTCCATGTGAAAATCCAAAGTGCTCTTCAGCCACTCCAGCAGCTGTCAGCTGTKAAAGGTTAAGCCTCAGTTAGTGTGAAGAAATATGCAAATTATTTCAGCTCATTGGTCTCAGATGAAATCACAAACAGCTTTTCATGTTGTCTCACTCTGATAAACACTGGGATGATTCAGGTTACTGACGGTGGAAAGTGCCATTAAATAATTTTCAGCTAATAGCACTCTTCAGCTGACAGTTTCTCTCTTTCATATCTACATCATGACTGCTTCTCTTCAGCCTGAGTTTGTCACTTCAGCAGGTTATTATAGCATCCCTTTGATTTATCACCTTAAACATCAAGTTTTGCTTTTATCCTCATGTCATCCCCTGCTGCTGGAAGTCTCTTACAAGGTTGAATCAAAACAGCTAAATAAAAATGATTTCAAGTTCTTTGTAATAAGATATTAGTTTAAAACTCAGGCCTGATTGGCTGTGGGTCACATGCATTTCATCAAAGAATTCTAAGCCTTTAATTAAATCTGTTTCATTCCATTCTGTTTCCACTGTTACCGTCTGTATAGGGATTTGTTTGTTTTTCTTATGTTGGTCCATAAAATTATTATGATCATTTTTGTACTCAGATTTAAGATAAACATTCAAATGCAATGAATTAGAGATTGTAGTGTTTTATTTTAGAACAATGTACATTATTTTTCGTAAAGCGTTTGTTTTTGACATTCTTTTTTAACTTGTAATGTAAGTTTTGTTTGCTTGAGATATTTAAGAAGTTGTATGAAACATCTTAGATGAAATGTGTCATTTTCAAAGTAAGTAAATGTACTTTCCAGAGATCCAGATGTTTCATTTGAGCACATGGAGAGGATTATAATATTGTGAGGATGTTTTACTGACAGWATCTGTTGGACTCCTCCCATCAGTCAGAGGTCATCTCAGCTTCAGTCTCCTCTGTGTTTAACTCAGACACATTCTGACATCTGGTGGTAAACTGTTAAAATGAAACAATCAAAAGAGACATTTCTGTCTAACCTCATACTAAATAAAATGTAAACCAACCAACCAAACCAACTTGAAATTTAAAATGATATAAATTGTAATAATGTACTGTTTAAATGTGACGTAAACAGTACTTTGTTACAGGAAATCCTGTAAATGTGTGTTTCTACTACAGAGTGAGGACCATTTGCACCGTAGTTACTATCAAAGTGAGGTCTTTGATGTAAAGTAGGGGTGTCCAAACATTTTGTCACATGGGCCAAAATCATGAAGTCAGAAGGAATTGAGGGCCATAAATATTTTTTCCTTCGCCTTCTCAACAATTGAATAGTTTAATTAAACAAATAAAGTAGTCAGATTTATTGCTGGAAATGGATGTGTAAATTAATCTAGATCCAGAATTTTAAACGTGTTGCAGGCTTCCCTTATTGAAAGAAATTTTGCAGCTTTCTAGGTTTCAGTTGGGGAATTGCTTTTCAATCAAGAAAACATCATTACAGCCCTTGAATATCCAGATCAATGGAGACCCTATTGAACAAGTATCACAAACAAAATATTTAGGAATAATTCTGGATGCTCAGTTAAATTTTAGAAGCCATGTTGACAAAATCTGCAAAACTGTTCGATCGAATATAAATTGYTTTAAAATTATTAGACATTGTCTGACACTTCACTGCGCWGAGAYATTTTTAAATTCATTGATCCTCTCACATTTTACCTACGGAGCTACTGTCTGGTCTCAGACTAATCAAACTACACTCAAACCACTAGCAAGTTTGTATAATCGGGCCTTAAAAGTTTTATATCAAAAGCCGATTAGATTCCATCACTGTCACATTTTGGTTAAATTTGGCATTTTGGATTTTACAAATTTCTTAAATTACAATGTTTTAAAAATGATTTTTAAGTGTTTAAATGGACTTGCACCAAGACTATTAAGCGATTGTACAGAGACTGCAGGGTAACAGCAGATCTACCAGATCTACAGTATTTTTAGTCTTTATTTTACAGTTAAAATAAATGTGTATAAAATAAAGTCTAATGTTAGAACTAACATGGATCCCTTTAAAACATTTTCCTAACACGCCTGCCTCCTTCTAAAAGCAGCATTGCAGTAAATTGCTGACCGTCCTCATTTTTTTTCTTTTGTTTTTTTAGAGATGCAGTTACCACCAGCTCTCAGAAGATGGTAAATATTTCACATTAAATCCATGTTGCAAACTGCACAGGGCTTTGAGAATCAAGAGCTTTCTGCCATGAGGGGGTTGAGAGGGTTTTCCTCTACATGCTGCCTCTCATCTCAAATATATGTAGGTAAACTGCACCAGAACCAGAGGCTGAATGATTGATAGTAGGAGGCGTAAATCTCACATGAATGCACACACAAAACTGAAAGGATACTCAAACCATRAGTGTATCTGTGCTTCTGTGAGCTTGTTGATCTGTGCAACCCTTTCTTTTTTATTTATTTGGCTGCCTCCTTTAGTAGCCAATCATCTGCCTCCATCTGCCTCCATCCTCCTTTCTAACACCAACTCTCTGCAGAACTTTTTTTAATATATCCATGAACTTTCCCCGTGGCCGTCAGGCTGGGCAGCTTCAGCGTCCCTCGTCCTTTTTACACTGTGCTGCTTCCTCTGCACATAACATTCAATTCATGCTGCAGAAAAGAAGTGAACTGCCTCGATGAGCCCAGGAAGGTTGAATCAGGAAGGACATCTGACGAAATCAAACATGTGTACCATCTGTGCAACCTACTAATGTTTAAAAAGAAAAAAAGTTGCTTTACGCTTGGACTCTGTCTGTAACACTAAAAAAAGCAACATTCATGGAGGCTGCTGTTGCTATAGCAACATCATCATTCCAAATTTGCAGTGTTGGGAGACAGAAAACAGAGCCTATCACATAGCTATTTAATTCCCTGTGTATTGTTTGTAAATAAGTATGTATATATGTATATACAGTACAATATAATTTCAAAAAGTTTGGTCAATTATTTTTTAATTTATTTCTCTGTTATAATTTGTTGTTATTATTTCACTAATTTTTGGAGTCAGTTCACTTCAAGATGGACGCCACCGCTAAATCAAATTAGCCCCAACTCAGTCACTTCACAGTTATTGAGTTAAAATAATGGATGCAGGTTATCAACCAAAAATGACCCCGAGAATGAAATTGTGTGAAATCATGCATGAAGTTATTTTTAAGGTTTTACCAACAGCTACAACTCTGTCCTTTCTTAGTTTTGGTCTAAAACTCTGGTATGGAAGGTGGTGGGCAGTGTCAATTCATTCAAGGAACGCCAGGCCTTTAATTGTAATAATGATCTAATAACATTCTCAGAAGTCAAAGCTAGTTTTCTGTGCGAGTCGTTCTTCCTGTGTGATGTCTGTGTAATTGTTTGTCAGTGGTATTTTGGGCTGAGCTCTGTGACGGACTCACCGGGACAAGATAAAGGCACAGAAGGAGGGAGGAGGAGGAGGGGGGGGGKGGTCCTCCCAGCCAATCTGGATCTCTCTCAGCCTACACAATCTCCTCACTCAGCCTCAGGCTTGGTGATGTGCACGGACTGAGAGGGAGCTCTGCCTTTCTGAAAACACTCTGCTGCTTCAGGACCCACAAAACAAAAACCGGTGAGTTCATGTCTCTGTTCTGCCTGCTCTCTCATACACAGCTACTTCTTATTAAATGTTGGCTTTCACTGAAAAATAGCCCTTGTTGCCTCAGAATAGACTGTGAACACAGACTGATACTTGCACTAGTTTGCATCATCTGCCATTTCATCCAGACATCTCTGTCTGTTCATATGGAGATAAAACAAGAAGCAAGGGTTTCTTGATTCTTTAATCTTTTAATTCCATTACGCTGTCGGCTGTTTGCAGCATCCTAACTGGGGTCTGGCTTTAACTAACGCATATTACTCTCAGATGAGCATCTACAAGGATAAAATGTGGATTCCCTCGTGTCAAAATGTGATGTGAAAGTGTCAGAAAGCAGAGAGGGAAATGGTTTGTGTGTGAAGTTGATGAGCTGGTTCACAGATGCACTCCTACGTACACTCTGCTGCTCCTGGCTGCGTCTGCAGAAGCAGGGGGCAGTTTCCCCCTTTTCATTCTCACTGATCCAATCCAGATGAACACTAAATCACATGTGGCTAAGCACAGGAGCAGATATGCTAATAAAACTATTCCTATTTTCACTTTAGTAGCTTTTAAAATCAAACTGATGCTGCTTTTTTTAATGAAAGAATAAGCGAGTTTGCATTCTTATTTTCTTCCAAAAGAAATGTTTGTGTTGAAGATTTAGCCGCAAAATCCAGGGTTTTCCAGTTTTGAAAAATTAACTAACATTGGGAAAATCATAGAAATACTGGATGAATGTTGCATTTAATCAAAAGTAATGAGGATCAAGACAACATTTTTTATTTTGAGTTTTGTGACACAGAAACACTTTATGTTTAGCAGGTTAGTTCCTACAAGGTACCCAAAGAATACTTACTCAGTATTGAGGGAACTTACAGAGTACCTTCAAGATCCTTAATGGGTATCAGGTTGGCCTGTAGGAAAAATGAAAACTTTACACCTCAGATCTCTGCACTGGTTTTCTATTGAAGGTAAAATCAGTCTCTTACACAAAAATATAAACAATGTTAACAGATTATTCACTCAGGTAAGCAGACAATGGTTGGAGATGCCTGTGACCACTCTGGGACTCGAGTGAGACCCCTAGATTTTATAGATTACAAGTTTGTAGCCAGTGTACAATAAAAGTGTAGAAAGTTTATAGATTTTGAAGCAGAGGTTCTAAGGTAGTCAAAACGTTAACAAGTTTGTGAAGTGGTCCTTCAGCTAACAGCTGATCCTGAAGCTGAAAATTAAAAGCCATTATGTGGTGCGACCAACGTTTTCTGCAGTCGTGTCGTCTCCAAATTCTTTTGTTTTGATCAAATGATGTGCTTCACATCTGTTTTTCACAACCACTGCATCTGTCTGAACGAAGGTGAAAGTCTTTCCTCCAACACAGATTTTATTTTTTAATAGATCTGTGTTACATCTTTGTCATGTCAGTGACTTCCTCTGTCAAAATATGGATAATCAAGTCATGAAATATTGTTTTTTTTTTTTCCAGTAATTCAAGTGTTTCCAGTGTCATTATTTACCTCTCCTCTGTAGTTAACAGCTAGTACGGCCACACCCATTTCTACCTGCACCCTGTTCACCTGTCACATCTGTAGCCACTTCTCATTACACAGTTTTCATAATAGCCTCAGATGAGAACTGGCTTCCCTGTGGTTCCCCATGTCTCCTTGTGCTAATCTCCTAAATTTTTGCTTGTTTGTTTGTTTGTTTGTTTTTGTTTTCTGCTTGTTCGTTTTTCATTTGTACATCATTCTTAAAATTCCTGCGGAAATACGGACGGGTCACGCCAAATATGCTGGACATCAGAGATCAGAGGCTCGTCAGCAGACGACCCAGTGAACATGTGAAAATAGGCTGTTAGTGTTTGCACYGTTAATCCGTCAGAGATCAGATTAAGGAGGGGCAGGCAGGGATTACGATCAGGAGGACCTTGCCGGAACGAGCAGACTAAAGGTAAGAGGGTCATGTGTCTGGAGTTTGYCATGGATGACAAACAAAGCCATGATCCTTTCAGACTAACACTTGTCAGCCAAGTCTACTTATAAATTTCGCTCTATTAGTTTGTAACTAAAGACCAAGTCAAGTTCAGGTCAAAAGTTAGCCTCAACCCTAACCTAGGAAATATAAAAGAGTTTTTCTTGGAGATTTTAAAATGACTGGGCTGGTTTGTGACAAAAACAAAAACACAAAGAAGTTGTGGCGTTCAGATAGAAAGACGCTGCCGTGGTCCTGAAGCTTTCCCAGCATGCAGTGCTGTGACTGTAGCCATGATGTCTTGTTGCACACAAATTAAGATTTTGTTGAAAAGGCTTGAATGGGTGTCGGCTGTTTGTTAACTTACAGTATTTACAGAAATCTTTTACCCAGAGGTGTATAGTAGCAAACTACATTTACTTTGTTAAAGTACTTTAAAAAATTTAGAGGATATGTAATTTTTCCAAGTATTTTTTATCATAACTTTTACTTTTATTTTCTAACATTCAAAACATAAAAATTATACTTTAACTACTTTGCTTTCAAGTTTAGCACCTCATTACAGGCCCTGTCACACTAGAGAACTGATGCCAACTTGTGAACATTTTAAAGACGTCTATGTTGAAGCTGGAATTGAAAAAAATCAACAGGAAGCTTCTTTTCAGCGTGTACATAATGTAATTCTTTTTTTTTTTTTTTTTATTCTAAGGATACGTTACATAATGTAATTCTAACAAATTGATCAAATATACACATTTTATTGGAAATTTGGACAAAAAAATGTTTCATAAGTTGGCATAAGTTGTCTAGTGTGACAGGGTCACTGCAAATTCAAATATAACTGGAACTCCTCATACAGTGAGTTGTTAGTGCACTCTGTAAAGCTAGTGTAAATAAATGCAAATAAACGTGAAGCAATTTACTCAGTTTTTAAAATGAAGATGTGTAAATCGCTCATTTCACTYAAATTGGTTTAGTGGAACCAGTTGACATAACTTGGTTAAGTATTTTCAACACTATTTCTTGAGTAAAAGCACTTTTACTTTTACTTTCCTCATTATTGTGAGCAGTTTTATGACTGAGGTACTTTTCTTATCAGTGAAATTCATTTTTACCTGTCATTTTCTATTGAGGTACTTTCACTTTATTATTTTTTCCAAGTACTTCATAGACCTCTGCTTTTTCCTCCTGTTGCAGATTTGTTTCAGGTGAGACAACAAACAGTAGCAGCAACTTCAACAGTTTTTTCTATGAAAGATGAGGAAAGACTGATGCTGCAGTTTTAAAGGCTGAAGAGAGGACAGGGAGAACTGGCATAAAACCTGATGACAATYTGATGAATGATACTAATGATAGCTCTGCTAGAATGCTTCAGTCTTTATGAAAGTTAAATATATCAAGAGAAATCGCTGCTCTGACTGTGCCTGGGTCAAGCAGTTGTTTAATAAATTTATTGTCGTTCTATAAGGATCTGTTTTAACAAAAAAACTATTTGGTCATTGAGGTCCAACCACAACTGAAGATGATTGTTTTTGACAGCGAACATGAAGTCAGGAAGAATTCTGTTCCAGTCGACAGCAGTGAGGGCTCCTCAGGACTGAAACATTTGTTCTGGCAAAGAATTGGGGTCTCAAAACCATCTCAAAAGCAACAGAGCTGCATTTTAAAGTGCCTGCGTCAAGCACATCCTTCAAATAGAAAATGTCAAAGAACACACCTTTTATACTTAAGAAACTTGACATAATGCACATATCCACTTTATCACATAAATGGCATATTTTCTTTTGTTTACTTGGCTCAGCCAAAGTGAAACAGGAAGTGACATCAAAGAGGAACTCTTTAAGAAAGAAAACTTCCTGGTCTTTGTTTACTGAAGCAATATTATTTGAACTCTGACTCTTCATCTCTGATGGTGACACAAAATAAACTAAAGAAACATCAGATTTTTCTCTACAGTCTGTTGTTTTAGTTATTGTAGCAACGCTCTGTTTACATGCAGATACTGTATTCCCCTCTAACATCACTTCCTGTTACTTCACATGTCAACAACTGTTCACGTAAATGG